CCTGGTTCCTCCTCGCGTACCAGGGGTAGATAAGCTCCGCTTCTTCAGAAGTTTCTCTGTAATACTTTTAAAGTCTTCGGTAATTCCTAACTTGGCTTTTCCGCAATCTTGTGTGTCTCTTTCTCAATTTTTGTTTCTAATCGCCCTTGTTTGCGTTCCGTGCCGAGCTGAGGCCTTGCAAACCCTTGGGTCGGTGACGCTGTCCCTTCCTGCTGCATCATTGCTCTGTTGGCTCAGGTCTATTTTCTTTCCTGCTACTGAGATAGGAACTGCCCAGCTGCACACCCGCTATGTCCCCTACTTAAATAAGGCAAAAATGCAAAATACTGTGTTATGTTAATCAGCTGACATCAGCCTCTGTGGCGCCAGGAATGCTTTGAATTCTTCCAGGCTGCTTGTGGCTGCTTTTAGCTTGATGCCATCGCATCTTTTCAGTGTTCTTTTCACTTGCTGTGCCCTTGCCCAGGTTGCTGGTGCAGATAGAGCAGGATGAGACCTGGGACAGAACTCCACAGGGATGCTTACTAAGATACCCTCCTATTGCAACAGCAAAGTATTAACTACCCGTCTCCTCCGAGAGTGGTTTTTATTTCACAGAATTGTGTGGTGGCCAAATAACGGTCACTTAAGAGTTGTTTCCATGTCTTGTCTTTGAGACTATTGTGTTAGTGGGTATCAAGACTTCACTTGGATACCTTTCTTGTCATCTCTGGCCATTAGACTGAAAGAAGGAAGTTTGGTGGATAGGTCGGGTTTCTTTCGTCCTTGTTCAGGATTCTTAGAAATGGATTATCTATATAAAGATTTTTCTTTAACATTATTGTAAGTTTGTAGACTTAAAACTTCCCACAGGAATATATTTTAATCTTTTAAAGGAAGTAGTACTGTAAGATAAGAGACTGGTAAGACAGGAATCCTGACAAACTAACTTTGGTTTCTCAGGCTTTAATTCAGCGCTTCACTGCCAACTTTTAAGTTTCCGTGGTTGTGGTCAGATTTCACTACATAATGAGCTTGCTGTAGCTAGTGGCTTAAAAATATGTTAAACAGGAAATTGTCAGAGGTTTGATTAAATAATGCATTTTTCATCACATTGGTACAGACAAAAGAAAAGTGACAACTGATAGACGTAAGACGACGACATTCCATGACACTCCAGTTATTTGAGTGCTTAAAATCTCTCAAAACTTCTTGTCAAGCATGCTGAGTGAACATTTATGTGACCCCGTTTCTTCCTCTCCTATAGGAAGAGGCTGACCCATCACTTCAGGCACTTGAATCCCGCCAGGAAGAGATTCTGAGACGCTTGTATGAACTGAAGAGCGCTGTCGATGGTCTCTCAAAGATGATACAAACCCCAGATGCTGACTTTGATGTAACCAATATCATTCAAACTGATGAGTGTTCTCCTTTGACAACAAATGGAGCAGATTTAGATTTGATGCTTGGGAAGGTAAGTTTAGTTGAGCACATGCATTGATAGATACTTTTTTTGCTCTCAGACTTCCACGATTTTGAGTGGCATTAAAACTTGGAACACTTGAACTCAATATACAAGTCTTATGTCCTTAGAAATAGCCTACAACTGCTATTTCATTCTGGGCATCCAGATTATAGATACAAATGTTTAAAAATACTAAATCTACTATCTGTTCTCATTTGGATAGAAGTCCAAGCAAGACTGGTTAATTTTGAACTTATGACAGTTGGTTTCTTGTTTGTTACTAACTGGAAATTCTGACTTTGGCTTCAGATTAGACTAGAATTTACCTCAGTAATGTTCTTGAATTATGAAGAAAGAAGATTTTAAAATGTTTAAACAAGCTTTAAATGTCCAAACTTGAATTATTTTAATATTAGAATTTCAGATGTATGCATGGCTATGTACACTTTGGTGTCACATGAAAACACCACTACTTCATAGTGTCATCTGGAATGTGTCTCAGCTGCTGAATGTTTTACTTTCCATGCAGGATTATGGTGGCCTGAAAGATATCGTAATCAATGCAAATCCTTCTCTACCTCCGCTGTCACTATTAGTACTACACAGTCTGCTTTGTGAACGCTATAAAATATTATCAGCTGTTCATACCCATTCATCGGTGAAAAGCGTGCCAGAAAACCTCTTGAAATGCTTTGGAGAGCAGATGAAGAAGCAGCCACGTCACAAGTATCAGCTGGGCTTTACTCTTATTTGGAAGGATGGTAAGAATGAATTTATCTTGTAGATCAGTATTTTACAGTAGGTGAGAAAATGAAACTTGTGTTCTAAAACCTTGACAACAGATGCTTTGGTGGCTTTGTGCCAACAAATGATGGATACATACTGCAGATAACATTTTTACTCTCTTATCGCTGTGAACAATGATGGGGACAGAGGAGGAAGATTCTCGTTTGGGGTTATTGCTATTAAACTACACGTGGCATTTACAGGGTTGGTTGTACCCACTGCATTTTTTTAATAGAAATCTTTTTCAGTTTCTACAAATAAGTTTACTAGAATAGAAATTAGTGGGAGATTGGGCTGAAGTTTACATCATAGAATTACCATTATATTTAACTTCTCTGCTATGTGATACTCACTTTTTTCTTTTTCTTTTCTTAATTTCAGTTCCAAAACCCCAGATGAAGTTTAGCATTCAAACAATGTGCCCTATTGAAGGAGAGGGGAACATCGCCAGATTTCTCTTTTCCCTGTTTGGCCAGAAGTACAATGCAGTTACTTCAACTCTGATTGATAGCTGGGTTGATACAGCCATCTTCCAGCTAAAAGAAGGCAGCAGTAAGGAAAAAGGAGCGGTCTTGCGCTCCATGAATGCTGCCCTGGGCAAGTCATCGTGGTTGGTGGGAAATGAACTCACTGTAGCAGACATTGTTGCATGGTGTGCACTTCAGCAGACAGGTAGTGCAAATGCCGCCCCAGCCAATGTGCAAAAATGGATGAAATCATGTGAGAACTTGGCACCTTTCAGCTCTGTTATGAAGCTACTGAAGTAAACCTGTATTCTTCACAATGGTGTAATTTTAATCGTACTCCAGTTCATGCCTGCTGTAGTGGTTTGAGTCCCTTCTGAGATGTATTCAAGTACTACAGTTAGACAGAATTCTAAAACCAATAAAAACATTACAGCTACCTTTTGGGTGTGACCTTCCTTTTTAGTAACTGATGCATAACATGCAAGTTTTTTTAACAATTATAAGGTATCTAAAGTAGTCCTATATCAATACAAGCTACACTTTTAATTTTTGCTTATATTTTCCCTGTAACCCAAACGCTTATTTACACAAGTTAAATTGTACTGAAGCTAAGTGTGACATGAATCCTTTTTGTTGACTGGAAACTTCTGAACTAAGACAAAAAGATTAATACCTTTAAAGAACAGACAGGAAAAATCAAAAGGCATTGAAATAGTTTTACGTAAACAAGAAATGTTTTGTATAATTTAGCATACAATAGAGGTTACTTCTTCCTATACTTAAACAGGAGAACCTAGTGTCATATGTTCATCTCGTTCTTCAGAAAGCAGTCTTATTCTCTCCCTCAGTTTCTCTATTTCTTCCTCTTGCTGTCTCACCTTCTGTTGCAGGTCAGAAATAACCTGAAAATGAGAGTTGGTTTACTTTAATAAGGATAAAGCCTTCTTAACCTATTTGAATGGTGTTTGCAATCCACTACAGACACACGCTGCAGCACCACAGCTATTCTGCATATTGGATACTACAACTTAATCTACAAACAAAAAAGTGTGGCAAGGAAAGGGAAGATTATAAAAAAGATTCTGCAGAGCTGATGAAAAGCTTCAAAAGCTTTTCTGACCTATAGAAATACCTCAAGCTATATGTAAAGCAACTGTCCAGTCTTCATAAAATTACATACACTTAGTGACTATTTATCTCATTTCACCAGAAAAATTAATACAGCAGGATAAACACTGTAAATGGGAAGGGGAGAAAAAGTCTCAATCACACAGTCTTCTTAAGTTTAAACAAATTTAAAAACCATAATAGGCAGGGAAACAGAGGACATTTTCTTTTTTTATTTCCTTATCCTATAAAGGTTGATGTTATTGGCATAACTTACATGTTCTGTGGTATGAAACAGCTCACTTTCACGAAGCTGAGCAGCAGTTGGTCTTTCTGTAGATCTCTGACTGGTGAGGAGCTTAACGTACTTGGCTTGAATAGGCCATTTTTTAGAGAAAGTATGAGGAATTTGGCCATTCCTTAAGTGTGTAAGAACTTTTGTTCTTTCCATTTCTGTTCCAAACGGTTGGAAGAGTTCTAGCAGGATAACACCCATGCTGTACATGTCTGACTGGTAACAGGGTGAAGAAAAAGTTCTGGGATAACTGCCATTTTTAATTATTCTAGATTCCTTTTTCTCATTAAAAAAATCACAGTATGAAAGAGTTCCACAATAGTTAAGTTTTATGATGATATGAAGAGTATCATGACACTACTAAAGGAACACAGATTCAATCTCTACAGATTCCACCAGATGATCTTAGAAACAGTTTTTGCATCAGTAGCAAACTAGAAGGCAAAGTTGAAATCCATGTCTCAACAAAAACATTAGGAGTAACAGTAGGATAAATATTTATGTATTTACCAAATATTATGTATTTACCTACTGAAAGGCTTGTTATTCCTATTGCCTATCATCATGTGTTAATAGGAAAAAACCAAACTACTCCCTACCTTGAAATCATAGTGAGATCCCTGCAACTGCTCTGGTGAAGCATAAAGGCAAGTCCCCACACCTGAAGTATGCGTCAATCCTTTAAAAAGGCAATTAGACTTACTCAGCTTAGTGTTACATTGTTACCATTTTACTTAAGAATTTAATATTTAATGGCTTTAATATTTAATAGTTGTAATATCATAGAAACTCCACTATGCTTTTTTCTCTTACCATTTATCCTTTCTGTCTTAAACCACTGGTGTGAATCATCCAAAATAAGGTCTTCGCAGGCTAATCCAAAGTCTCCTATTTTCACACGATGATCTGATCCATGTAGAAAGATATTTCTGGGCTGAAAAACAAGACAGTATAAAATCTCAAATACATCTATATAAAGAATTAATGACATTTCAGCTGTTTCGAAGTCTATAAAATCCAGTGTTTCACAGTTACAAAGATAATTATTTAACACTTTGTGTTAACAACATCATTTGGGGAGAAAGACCACATATGAAGGATCTAGAAAAAGAGGTAGAAAAAACAAAACAGGAAAAACAAAGATTTAATACAAAGACAAAGTACTTCCTCCCCCTGCAAAAACTGGAAAGTTTTCAGAACAGTAAACAGGAACAGGCAAGAACAGACAGCAAATTAGACCAACTGATGTGACAGGAAGGAGGACTAAAAATCATCTTTGGGCGAGACATAATGTAAAACAAAATATACTTTTCTATATGGTAAGCAGAGCTGCAACACACTACTTGGTTCAGGGAAACTGCTATGAAAAAAAAGTGATGAGATATTTGAGTAGAGAGCACTGACTGGAAAAACCAAAACAGTTTTATCCATATATTTTGGCTTTAGTACCACTAAGGAGAAGAAATGCTAGCATTACATATCTAGGAAAAAAAGAGATACTTAACAGATTAAATGTCATACAAAGTTCCTGGTTTTCCTTAGTCTACATGACAAGGTTTCTGAGCTTAGGTATATTTGGATGAGAAGTGAAAGCACTATTGCTTAGTACACGGGTTTTTTTCTCCTACTAGAAGTTAGCAGTAGCAAGGAAGCAAAGGCAACTTAAGGCTTTTTTTTTTCATTAGCATTTGCTGATTTTATGGTACATTTAAAATATGCACTGAATAATGTGGTTACTTCAAAGCTAGTCTAGAACCAGGCATCCTGCAACATACTCAATCAAGATCATGAAGGACTAACAACTACTCATGAGGCCTGCTCAGATAATAGGAAGGAAATAGCTGAACTTCCATTAAGCAGACATGAATAGTTTAACAAAGGATGGTCAACTATTTTAATTTCTTCAATGCAGCTCTAATTTAAAAGCTACAACGCTGCTGAACAAGTTGCTAGGCTTCTCATAGCCACTGCAGTTGAGAGATAATCAAGGATGCCTACCCGCTTGGACTTCTGTTCTCAGAATTTCAAATGCCAAAAGACTTTCTTATTATCACAGAAATTACTGTCTCTGCAAGATATCTGCAAAATCATAATAATAATATATGGTGAAGACTATGAGCACTGACTCAAAACCAGGCTCCCAGCAACTGCATGAAATTCTTCAGACAACTACCAGACCTTCAGACAACAAGGTCACGATGATGCTAAACTGGAAATCAAATTGAAACACAGTTGACCCTGAAATAGTCAGCTGAAAATTTAAAATTCACCCAGAATGAAGATTGTGGTGTTTTCAAGTAGTTTCAAGTTTCCACATGTGGAGTTTTAATAATCAAGATGATTTTTACATTAATTTCCTCATATAGCTACTGCATCAGATGCAGAGAACCTCTGTAGGAAAAGCAGAGCAGGAAAATACACATTCACTTCCTTGGTATTCGATTCTATCAGTTTAAGGGGCTGGGGGGAAGCAAGATACATCTCCCTGTGCTTCACATTTAAGCCAGCCAGTAAGTAAAAACTATTCTTATGATTACAGTTCCAAAAAAACTTCACAGGAACACATGCTTTTATATAAGGGTATCCTATTCTAATAATTCAAAGTGGTGCTATTTTTTTAAGTCTGCTTTCTGTTACTTTTAATAGGAATGAAACTAAAACACTTCATTCAGTCACTAATATCACATACAGTTTCAGTCCTTTAGAGAAGACTGCAACGATTTTGAAAGACAGCAATTACTTCCAACTCAGGGAATTTTTTTAAAGCAAGTAACTATAAGTAGAACATATTTTCAAAAGCTGATACACTGTTGGCAGACTGAGGTGTAGTCAAGTGGCTTTGCTTTAACAGATTTTTTTTTTTTTAGGCCCCACCCTGGTTAAGGAAAGACCAAGACAAAACAAAACCAATCTGACCATCCCTGTTTCGGACAAGGAAATGGCTTCACAAAGGTTAAGATGTTTCCAGAGCTTAATCATAATCCACTTGTAAGTCAATGTAATTGAATACTATGCTTATAGTAAAGAAAGTATGGTACCAGTATAGAGGAGACTATGTATTTTTTCACATGTAACAGCTAAATTCTTAAGAGCTCAAGTAATCTCAAATATAACTGTGAAGTTGCTTTCATTCTCCCATAATGTAAGTTACCTTTTTTTTTTCTTTAACCACAAGGAATAATTCAATGAACTTACTTTAATGTCTCGATGCATCACTCCCATACTGTGGATATAGCACACTCCTTCTACTAACTCTTGAAAAATTTTCATTGTCCAGCAGACATCCACAAGATGGTATGGACCTTAAAGCAATTTAAAATCTAAATTATTACAGCTAATTCTAGTCAGTAATCTAAGTTTATGGTGGCATGTCTGGTTAAATTTTGTTTATTTATAATGTGGATGAAAATTTTAACAGCACAAGCATATTTTAAAAATGGAATTTCCCATGTTTCTCCTAAGAGAGTATTTTTGAAACAGCAAAAAGTCACTAACATCAAAATTCCAAAAAGGAAAGTTCAAGGGACATGAGCGTATGTCTGCCTGAAAACATTCCTCCAAACCTCATCTGTTAGTTATCTGATTAGAAATTTAAGCCTTTATGTCCATCTAAGTACTGAATTAGAATGAAAAATACAGTTCCAGATAAAATCATACTAATTTATGTAATTACATGTTTTCTGCATCAACTTGCACCCTTCCTTTTTGGATCCTAATCCTTCTGCTGTTGTGCTACTCTCTGAAATTCCCAAATCTCCTCTGGCTGTAGCTGTTCAAAATGAACTTACTATCTACACTGTCTTCTCAATCTAATGATCCAGATCTAACATATCTGTTGCCACTCTGAACACTCACCATTCACTCCTACTTGGGTTTCTGTTTCTTAATGTTTAAACTATGAAAGCATTCACCTTTCCTCTCCTGTCGCCTGTGAAAATGCATGAAAAGAGCATTTTGCAAGGTCAAGCACCCTAGTAATTTTGTCATTCCCTGACCAGTAATGTCATCTTTTAGCTTATGAAAGCTAAAAAGAC